GATGATGTTTTCTCCGGTAACTAGTAGTGCAAGAACAATTTGCGGAGCGCTCTGGGTTTTCTCCCAGCGCTATGTAAATAAAGATTACTTATTATCTTACTAATGATGACATTTTAAACCGAGAAACTCTCAAGTACGTAGACAAACAAGAGCACAATCTCTTAACCTCAAACTATAAAATATGTCTTATGTACTATTTGGTCCTGTGTGATTAATTATCTATGCCATTTAAACACAGCATAAATTAACAAATTTAAAATAATTGCAGCATTTTATCATATAATGTCATAGTGAATTGATGAGCACATTTTAGGACAGTAGCTCCTCAGCTGTTGTGCATTATCAGCAGGTAGGCAACAAGGATACAGGCTGTGTTCGTCAAAAACAAAGAACAGAAATTCACTGCATGCTTGAGGAGGATTTGAATGGTGGTGTGGAGTGAATTGGGGTAGTTGTAACAAAAATATGAAAAAGTATATCTTTTACAGCTAATTCCTCTTTCTATTTATAGACGCAGGTCTATAATCAACTACTCACTTTTAACTACGGATTCTAATTTGAAATGTGCTAGTTTGCGAAAAACCTTTGTGTATATACACTTCAAATTAAGCATAACGTACAAAAAATCACATAACATACAGCTGATTAAAATATAATCAGAGTGACAATACAATAGATGTGACTCACAAAAAAAGCAGCAGGATTTAAAAAAGAACAGCAAAGCTTGTTATTGTACTAATCTTATTGGTCTCAAAAACATACGAAATTTCCAAACTTCATATCCCATACTGGTTGTTAAAAACCGTTTTAACTGTTGTCGTAACACACATGTATCCCAACGGATGGCAAATTTGAGCAAATTTAAAACGGTGAATAAAAGACAGCAACTATAGTTGGAAAAGTGCCGCCAATGCTCGCGCTAAGAAGTCGAGTAGTGTCATGATTTGCTGGTTATCGATATTTAGCACTAGCGAAATCAGCGAAGAGAGGGGGCCGTTTCCCTGTACAAAGCATCATGATATATTCGACGCACACACCACACAATAAGATACCGTAAGGAAATAACTAAGATCAAGGATTACTTTGAGTTAAAGGCGTAATATAGACTGTGGTTTTTCTATATGCTTTTGTCAATCCAAGGTCTATAATTGATCACTTTCCACATCTACATGTAATCAAAAGGCACTCTGTGTGTCTATGAACGTTTAGCGCAATGGCAGGAAATGGTTATCGAGGTTAGCAAACTAATTTAAAACTCAAAATCTCTTCTATAAAAACAAACGACTGTTGGGATACAGCCCTCGTTCGATTATTTTCTCAACTGTGGAGATAAAAATCGGCTATAAAATTTTGAATAACATCAGGCGAAAAGCGCTCTATGCTCAACTTGTAGGAGTTAAAACTCTTGCATATCTCCAGTTACTCAGTTCACGGGCCTATAAAACAAACTAAAACAAAAAAAGCTACCTTTTTTTATCTGGTGATGTAATGTTTTTCCGGTGATCAACTGAAAATATTGGTGGTTGATTTCGTTGTTAAGTTTTGTCATTGTATCATCCTTGAAATTCGTCAATTATCAAAGACTTTTGTAAATTAGAGGCCTACTTTAAACTTAATTTGTAAAATTGAGTGCTGTTTACTTTGTATTAAAGGGGGTGGAACTATAGGGGAATATATACTGTTGATAATCACATGTCATATAGGGGGTGGTACTTATAAAAGAGGATTCAAAGGTGGACTTTTAACCCCGAGGGGATAAAAAGGGAATTGTAAACAACAGAGAATTGTATAGGGAAAGGGGTACTTGTAAAAAAAAGGAGAGGTTTTATAAGGACTTTATAACAAGTGAAGTTCAGATATTTTTTAAATGTTGGAGTGGTTTGGTAGAAAAAAAATAAAAAGTAAATTTTTTTAGAGTTTGTAGAATTGTTTGGGAATCTGGTAATGTTTGATATTTTTAGGTGTTGGAGGAGATTTAGTTTTAGTGTAAATCGGGTGAATTGGTATGTAAAGTGGTCTGAATAGATGGGAGGAGTTAGGTTGATGTTAGTTTAAATAAAAATTTAAGTGTATAGGGTGGGTGATTGTGTATTGAAAATAATATTGAGAGAAATGTTAAGAGGGAATATGGGATTTATGAAAAGGTACAAAGATATCGTGATGTTGAGAAAAAAAAAGAAAGAAATTTTAGTAAATATGAGGTATATAAATATATTAATGAATTTTTGGGATATTAGAGTAAGGAGGATTTATAATAATAATATGTTAAGATTGAGATGGAAAGGAGTCGGAATCGTGGTGTTGCCAAACTGCTGGAAGTTTATTTAAGTTGGTCTCTGCCAATTTTCCGACTGTTGTATACGCTGTTTTGCTTTCTCTCATGGACAGACGAAAGGACATAACACTCTGATTATTATATAGTCAGTGTGCACGTCACATCATCGAAAAGACATTACGTGTCACAAAGAACAGATCACATCATAGAGCTTAACATGGAGTCCATGTGTAGATCCTTGTACATTCTGCACGAAGTAGGCCATATTGCTATCAAATACTAACAAACGCATCTGATTCTCCATATCAATGCACCATAACCATAGTTTCAAATAGGTTAATCAAGCTTAGTGCACATATGCAAAACAACTATCTAATAGTATGACAAATTTAGCATTGAGGAGAGTCCGCCGAGCAAAAACATAGCTCAAGAAAAATGGAGAGCCACGCGCCCACACAGAAAAATATAAGAAGAGGAGGCCAACAGAGGCAGTCGCAGGCGAGCGCTAGGTATTTGACCAACCATCTTCCTCTTGTAAAACACGGCACAGAGTCTTGACAACTGAGCGACGTGTATTCAAATGTCAAGAGGGGCCGCCCTGTAGTTGAAAGCCTTCAATTACGGTCTTTCTGGCTAGGAAAAAAAATATGACGTTAGGTTGCGATCAAAACCTGCATCTCGCTCGAATTTCCAGCTCCCGCTAGACAACACACCCATCCGAGTGGTGAAAGCAGGTACCCTTTCTGTTTAGGGAAGTGTTTGCGTTGCGCCATCGCCTGGAAACGTCACGATTTGAACTCGACGTCGCGCGCGTGCTACAACTACCGCGAGGGCTTTGGTTTTCATCAAGACAGCCAACTTGACGAAAGAGAGATTGCGGAGGAGAAAGGGTAAAGGAATGGGCCGGTTTACGCATATGTCTTGTGAGGCAATCAAATAGGCGCAAGTCAAAGTGAAAGTCAGAGTCATTCTGTTGTAAAGTCCAAGTCGATGTTTGCAAGTCTTTTTACATTTGGACAAGTCGAGTATCTAATAACGTCAGTCATAAATCATGACTCAGAGACTGACTCGATTTTCCAATTCGAGACAAAAACATGACCAGTCACACCCCCTGCATCATAGAATGATGAGCAGACACAGAACGGTCACTGAGCGAGTAGAGGGAGATTAGTTCACAGTGGAAGTCAGAGCTATTTGGAACAAAACTTCGTCCATGAGACTCTTCAATAGGGTCCGTCATTCAGCTAACGGGTTAGCGGAGATTCCATTCTGTCTGCAAGTATCTATTTTTTAACTGAACCACACCGAGAGACCAATAGAGTACAGAGAAGTCCATCAGCCTCTTAAGAAAGTTTTACAGAAATAAATGAATAAACAAACAGTATTTATTACGATTATTACGTCTTTTTATATTAGACTATCATCCTCACACTGACTAATAAACCACAAGACTGTCGAACAAGTGTGTCAGTGAAAACTCATGCTTAGGAGTCGAAAAAGAGAAGCACTTTTTCTGAGCGTAGGGACACAGTCGCTCTCCTTACCCGATCAATGCGTTACAGCATAGATACATTATCAAGTAGCTCTCCCCTTGGCACAAGTACTACCAGTAAGATTGTGACAGAGAGGGGGAAAAGTTTAAAACGCAAGACTAGCGTGTCTGAATGATTTGAATCTATTTGGTCCAATCAGGAAGCAGCCGATGGGGTGAGAGCAGAAGTATAGTGTGCATTAAAGTGTGAGGTATGTTAAAAAACTGAACGCTTTTGTATAGAAGAAAAAAAGGGACACAAAATCTTAAGGAAGCTGTAGGTTCTCTAACAGGTTCTCTATGTCAGGGTTCTCTGTGCGGGTGTTCTCCTAGTCGGTATCTCTGTCGGGTTCTCTGTTCGGGTTCTCTGTGTCGGGTTTCTCTGTCGGGTATCTCTATACGGGTTCTCTTGTCAGGGTTCGCTGTCAGGTATCTCTAATCAGCTTCTCTGTCGGTTATCTCAGTCGTGTTCACTGTGCAGTGTATTAGCTCTGGTCGGGTTCTCTGTCGGATCACTGTCGGGTTCTCTGTCAGGTTCGTTCTGATCGAGAGGTTCTCTGTCAGTGTTCTCACTGTACAGGTCTCTGTACAGTTCTCTATCAGGTTCATTCTGTCAGTGTTTCAATGTCGGGTTCTCTGCGTTGTTCTGACGGGTTCTCATGTCGTGTTCTCTGTACGGTGTTCTCTGATCAATTCTCTGTCGGTATGCGTCTGTCAGAGTTACTCTGTCGGGTTCTACTGTCAGGTTCTCTTTAGGTTCACTGATCAGGTGTTCTCGGTCGGGTTCGTCTGTCGGGTTCTCTGTCCAAGGTTCTCTGTATCGGGTATACTTCTATGTCGAGGGATCTCTGCGGGTCTCTCTGTCTGAGGGTTTTCTTGTCAGGTTCTATGTCGGGTATCATCTGCAGGTCTCTGTCGGGTTCTCTGGGTCGAGAGGTTCTCTGTCGGGATCTCTGTCTAGGTTAATCTGTCTGAATTTTCTGTCAGGGTTCGGCTGTCGAGTTCTCTGATCTGGGTTCTCTGTCGGTTTCTGTCATGTTCTCGTCAGGTTTTTCTCTGTCATGTTCTCTGTCTGGTTCTCTGTCGGTTTTCTTTCAGGTTCTCTGTCAGGTTCTTTGGTCGGGTTCCTGTCTGGTTCTCTGACTGGTTCTCTTGACAGTTCTCTGAACGGTATATTCTTGTCAGGTTCTCGTTTTAAGGTGGTTCTCTGTCAGGTGTCTCTGTCAGGTTCTCTTGGAGTGCAGGTATCTCTGTCGGGGTTCGTCTGTCAGGTTCTCTGCAGGAGTCGCTGTCGGTTCTCTTGTCAGGGGTTCTCGTGTCGGGTTCTCTGTCAGGTTCTCGTGTCGGTTCTCTGGTCGGGTTCTCTTTCGGGGGATCTCTGTCGGTTGTCTTGTCGGGTTTTTCTGTCATGTCTCGACTAGTCGTGGGGAACTCTGTCATCGGTCTCTGTATCGTGTTCTCTGTCAGGTTCTGCTTGTGCGGGTTCTCTTTTCTGGTTCTGCTGTCGGATTTTCTGTCAGGTATCTCGTAGTACAGGTATCTGCTGGTACAGGATTCTCATGTCGGTTCTCTGTCGTGGGTTTCTAGTCAGGTTCTCTGGTCAGGTGTTATCTGGAGTCAGTGTTCACTAGTCTGGTTCTCTGTCGAGTGTTTTCTGTTCAGGTCTCTGTCAGTTTCCTACTGTCGGTTCTCTGTCGGTGTTCTCTGTATCCGGATTTTCTGTCAGGCTCTCTTTCATGTTCTCTGTCAGAGTTCTCTGTGAGGAATCTCTGTTCTGGTGCTCCTGTCGTGATTTCTGTCAGTCACTGTCAGGTTCTCTGGTCCGGCGGGTTCTCATGTCTGGATTGCTCTGTCGGAATTTTCTGTCAGGTTCTCTAGTCAGGTTTTCTCGTATCAGGTCTCTGTCTGGTTCTCAGTCGGAGGTTATTCTGTCAGGAATGCTTCTGTCCAGGAGAGCGTTTTCTCTGTCAGAGTTTTACAACTTCTGTTTCTACTGTCGGGGGATGTCTCGTATTGTCGGGGTTATCTTGCTGTTTATGTCAGGTTTCTCTGTGTCGGGTTTCTCTGTCGGTTCCTGTCGGGTTCGTGAGCGAGTGTCGAGGTTATGCTGTCAGGTTCCCTGTCGGGTTCTCAGTCAGGTTCTCTAGTCGGGTTCTCTGTCAGGTTCTCAAGTCTGGGATCTCTGTCTGGTTATCTGTGCTGATTTTCTTCAGTTCTCTGTCAGAGGAGTCTCTGTCTGGTTCGATGACTGGTTTATCTGTCAGGTATCTCGGTTGCAGAGTTCTCTGTCAGTTTCTCTGTCTTTGTTCTCTGAGGGTCCGTTTATTGTCAGGTTCTCTGTCATGTTCTCGTCGGGTTCTCTGTCTGAGTTCCTCTAGTACGGGCTTTTCTGTCAGGATCCTGCTGTCTGTATCTATCTGGTCGTAGAAGTGGTATCACTAGATCATAGTTGACTATCTGTATCTCTTTGATATAGGTCTCATGTCGGGTTTTTCAGTCCGTTGATTCTCATGTGTTTCCTAGGTTACTTCTCGATGTCGGTTAATCTCTGTCTGGTTCACTGTCCGGCATTGTTCAGATCATGGATTCTCTGGACAGGTTCTCTGTCAGGTTCTCTGTCTGGAGTTCTCTGACTGGGTTTCTTCTGTCAGATTCTCTGAGTACAGTTCTACTTGGTCAGGGTTCTACTGCTTCTGGAGGATGTCGTATCATGTCGGAGTGGTTAATGGAATTACTGTCGATACGGGGGTGGAGAGGTCTGGGATCGGTGAGTCAGGTTATCTCTTTCGATTTGTGTCTCAGTATATCTGAGGTGTTCTCTTTGTCGGGGTTCTACTATGTGTGTTCAGGGGGGTTATGCGTCTGTCTGGTGCGGCTTGGTGGGACGGGTGGGAGGTCCTGTCGGGATGGGTAGTCTCTGACGGTGCTGTAGCGGGGTGGTCGGTACGGGTTTCTCGAGTGTCCAGGGGATTTCTGCTGTCGGGTTCTCTGTCGGTGTTCTGTGTCGGGTTCTGTGTCAGTGTACTCTGGGACATGGGTTTCTCGGTCAGCTGAGTCAGATCTGTTTTAGTTTACATTGTCTGGGTTACCAGAAGCCGTTATCTGCAGTACCGCGAGAATCCATGGTGTCCTTCTGCTGCCCAACTTGGGAATCACGAGGTTGGATTTATGACGAATCCGATTGGGTGTTGACTAGAGATGTTCCGAGGAGTCTGCGTCAATGTTTTACTAGCCCCTGGGCGAGCCGTGACACATGGAGTAGACTCGGCACTTTTGAAAAGCACTCGCCGTTGTCACTATGCAGCGCTGTGCAGTAACAAAGCAACTCAGCTAAAACTCTGACCTGAGGCGAGTAAAAATGTGACATAAACGTGACGCCGCATGTCTAACCTCTCTTTCGGCTCTGAGCGCCTGCGAATGGTGTTAATTGATTCTACGGTTTTACGACGAGCTTCGAGATGTGAAAGACGCGTGAAATAATTTGCCGTGTGATATTGAGTTTTCGTGAAATAAATTGGGTGAAACTGGTTCCAACTGTGGAACTTTAGCTCATCAAAACATAGTGGCCCCCTAGTGGACATGGACGCTGTAGTGCTTGTGACGCTGTCTTGGTTAGAGTCTGGCTCATATAATAATATAACACAAGACCAGAGAGAGCTGATAGACCAAGAGAGAGAGACAAGAGAGAGATGAAACCAAGGGAAAGAGACCCGAAAGAGACCAGAGAGAGAGACCTAGGAGGGAAAGAGGGACCAGAGCAGAGAGAGACCAGAGAGAAGAAGAGAGACCAGATAGAGAGACCAGGAGGAGAGAGACCAGGAGAGAAGAGGAGACGCAGAGGGAAAAGACCAGAAGAGACCAAGTGAGAGAGACCCAGAGGGAAAGAGGGAGACAGAGGAGATTAGAGACGCGAGGAGAGGGAGAGGACCGAGAGAGTAGACCAGAGATATGAGAGACGCAACGAGGGAGAGAGAGAGACCAGAGGGAGAGAGAGAGCAACCAGAGGGACAGTATACGCAGTGATGAGAGACCAATAGGACGAGAGACGGACACCTGAAGAGATGGGAAGAAGGCGGACTCGAACAGAGATGAGAGAGACCAGGGGAGTGCTGTAGAGAGAGAGACCAGTGAAGAGAGTAGCGGAGGTATCTAGAGCCCAGGAGCGTAGTAGTAGAGAGAATCCGGGAAATATCGCGACCCAGAGAGAGACATTGAGAGACCAGAGAAGAAAGAGTATCAAAGAAGAAAGACCAGAGAGAGGGAGAGAGAAAACATAAAGAGAGAACTGGCTGGAGGCGGCCCGAGAGCGATGCGATTCTCTGTTGTGTGTGATCTTCTGTGCGTCCCTGTCTTTTACCTTGTAAGCTAAAGACCATGAATTTCCACGCCAGTGGGACAAACTTCACTTTCATCCTTATCTCTAATGATTTCGCATCAAATACACACAGACAGGACGCACCTCGCTCGCAGCTGAGTGCTCTTCACGAAAACAAAATACACGATCAAGACAGAACTCACAGATCGCAGCTGTTGGCTCTCTACAAACATACACAACACAGACAGGGACTCTCATCTCAACGCAGCTGTAGGAAAGGTGAGCAACTCGTCACAATACCACACCAGATCAGGCCGACTCGATACCGCAGCTTGTGTGCTCACCTCCAAAAAACCAACACAGTACCGTGACTCTCGGATCGCAAGCTGTGTGCTACTCCTTCACATACACACAGACAGGACCTCTCTCGGCAGCTAGTGTAGCTCTCTCCCAATACACACAGACAGGACTCTCGGATCGCAGACAGTGTGCACTCTGCAAATGCTAAATGGAACACAAACAGACAGTACTCAAGGATCGTCATCGATGCCTAGCTGTGTGAGGTCTCTCTCAAATTACACCGGCAGACAGAATCTGGAACTCGAGCTGGTGTGCCTCTCAAATACCACACAGACGAGGACTCTGGATCGAAGCTGATGTGCACACTCAGTAAGTACTCGCACAGACAGGTACTCTCTCTCGTCAGCACGCAAGTGTGCTTCTTCTCGAAAAATTCACACACAGACCAGAACTCACACGATTGCAGCCTGTGTGCTTTGCTCGTCAAATACGGGACACAGACAGGACTCACTCTTCTTTGCAGCTGCGTGTCTCACTCCATCAAAAACACACAGTCAGGACTCTCTCTCTCTCGTCGCACGTGTGCTCTCTCAAATAGCCCACAGACCGGAACTCTGGGATCTGCAGCTGTTGTGGACCTCTGTGTCCATGCGAAAATATCACACAGGGTTGCAGACGGAGGTACTAGCTGGATCGTCATGGAGGGGAGCTAGTGAGATCTCTAGTGTCAAGGAAATGATACACACGAGACATGACTCTGGATCGCAGCTGTGTGCTCTACTTTCCAGAATTCCAACAGCAGAGAGGCAGTGACTCAGCGTACACTCTCGCAAGATGCTGTGTGCTGCATTCTCTAAAAACCGCACGCTGACAGGGACTCTCTGCTCGGCGAGCTAGTTTAGTCGCTACTCAAAGGTCAAAATAACACCACAGTACAGGACATCCACTCTCGCAGCAGTGTGCTCTCTCAAAAGAACACCCGAAGACACGTCCGCTGCACTGATTGCGGCAGCTGATGTGGCTCTCTCAAATAACATCAGAGACAGTGACTTCTCTCAGTCAAGGCCAGCAGGTGTGCTCTCCGAATACACACTATACAGGACTCTGAGATCCGCAGCTGTGTGCTCTCTCAAATCTCACACAGCACCGGAGATCTCTGAGATCGGCAGCTGTGGAGCTCTCCCAAATACACACAGACATGGACTCTCACTCGCGCATGTGAGGACTAGTGTGTTAGCTCGAGTCTGTCAAATACCACAGACAAGCCTCACGAATTGGCAGCTAGTGCGATTGCTACACGACAAAATACATCACCTATCACCTGCTCTCAGGCGTCGCAGCTGAGTAGTAGCTCTCTTCAAATACACACAGACAGTACTCTCTCTCTCTCTCGCTGCTGTGTGCTCTCTCAAATACACCCCAGACATGACCTCTGATCGCAGCTGAGTGCTCTCTCAAGTACACACAGACCAGACTCTCGTATCGGCAGCTGTGTGCTCTCTCAATACACACAGACCGACCTCTCCACTCGCAGCTGGTCCTCTCAAAATCACACAGACCGTACTCTGCAGATCGCGAAGCATAGGTGTGGCTCTCATCGAAATACCCACAACAGGAACTGCTCATCATCGCAGGACGATGTGGCTCACTCAAATTATCACACAGTACAGGACTCACACACACACACAAGGCTTGATGTCAGTGCTCTCTACTAAAATACACAACGATACAGTGAGACACTCGATTCGCTAGCGTGTGTCACTCGTTTCGCGAATAATGAGCACGCCTAGAACGGGTACTCGACGGTGTCGGGACGGAGCTCTCGTCATTGCCATCGATCTGTAGTGCTCTTCTCATATACACACAGACAAGACTCTCGATTCGCAGCTGTGGCTCTCTCTAAATACCCACCGAATGAATCTCTTCGATCGTGCGAGAGACTTATGTGTGCATCTCCATCAAATACAACACACGACAGGACTTCTCTCCTCACTCATCTGCAGCGTTGTGCTCTCTCACACTGCTCAATCATCATGACAAGGACTCTCGAGATCGCGAGGCTGATGTGCTCTCGGTTCAAAACACACAGACAGGCACTCTCTCTCGCTAGCTGATGTGCTCTCTCAAATACACACAAACAGGACTCACGAGCGAGCAGCTGTTGTGCTCTCTCACATACACACAGACAGACTCTCTCTGCGCACCGTGTGTTCTAGTCAAGGGTGGGGGGGGGGAGGGGGGGGGATGGGTGGCGGGGAGTAGGGCGAGGTGTAGTGGGGAGTGGGGTTGGGTGGGGGGTGGGGGGGGGGGGGGAGGTGGGGGGGGGGGGGGGGGGGGGTGGTGGGGGGAGGGGGGGGAGGGGGGGGGGGGGAGGTGAAATCGGGGTGGGTCAAGGAGGAGTTCGCAGAGTGTGTGCTCGGCCAAATACACACAGACGAGTGGTCTCTGAGGAGTCGCAGTCGGTGGTGGCTCGGTCGCTGATTATACCATAGTTCTGTGAGTGGCACTTAAGTTTCTTTGGTCTGAACTTTGGGTTGTTTTATGTTGCATGATTGAGTCCGCAGGCGAGACTCGGGCAAAGGAGTGCGCAGAGAATGCTTTCTAAGACAAAGAAATGCTCTAACTATACAGGCTGAGTGCAGTGAATGTTTGTTGGCTTTATTTCAAACCCAGACACGGCGTCAAATTAATCTTTTGTTTTTATACCTGTTCTGCACCAATATCTAAGTTCGTATTTTTATGTAAACTTCTAGCATCGTCTCTGTTCAAACCCGATGATCTGTAGCTGTGATCTCATTCTCTCACAGCGGATCTCGGTATTGTTACGCTGTGAAGCAGTGGAGAACGACCCCTTAAAACAGTACGTGCCCTCAACAAGGGGTATTCTTATGATAAGTAACTAGCATTATTGGTCCTCTCCTGTGGGTCAAGCGGGTTGCTCAATCTGACTCTCTTTAGTACAGTCACTAACCGACAACTAACCGATATGTTCTCAGTCTCGTTCACTATCTCTCCTCATGTTGTACCCGTGATAATCTATCGGTAAATGTCTCGTACTCCTCCGATCTCGTTTTCTTCGATCGGTCGTTGTTCTGTGTAGCAAGGTAATATATGCCTTAGGCTTCTAACACTCTCAAGTGATACTCACAATAATCTCACAATCTCTTCGATACAAGCATGATACTCCAGGGGTGTCGTCCCAAAAATCACATATATTTTCATCAAGTTTCTAGCCTTTTCTACGGTCTTCATATCAGACCTATGACCCTGGTGCAGGTATTGCACAGGAATCTTCTTTTGCAGACTCGTAAAATATTAGTCACTTAATGCTAACCGTTCTTCCTATGATGGATTCCAACCAATTGCCAGCATCTGCCTTTATAGTTAATGGAATAGCTGTATATACAGAAACCAACTCGATCTATCTGTTTCTAACAATATACTCCAACCGCTGATTACAAAGAAAGTGATCTAAGGTCTTACAACAAACACTTTGTTGTGGAGACTGAATGTTGGATATGGCATTACACTGTCAAATTGTGCCGCTTTCAAATTAGCGACTATTTTATATTACGGATGCAGATGGGAGCCCGCAATATCATGGCACCGGAAGGCCGCACATTGGCCCACCGGGCCTGAGTTGTACATTATACCTGGAATAATACAGAATCTACCTACCAAAGCGTACGTCTCTATACTCTCTGTGCCTATCTATATATATCTCAATCTATCTCTACTTCTCTATCAGAGCGACGGCTAATAAATCAATCTCAGAACAACCCACAAATGCACGTGAATAGCATTGTGCGTCCCATGGTCACATATTATTCCTATAGAACCAGTACGGACATGATGTGTGTGATTCACGTGTATCTCTTAGTAAAGAGACATATGTGCATCCTCTAGAAGAAAGAGTCCAATTTAAGTATATGTATTTTGTCGATCTTTTTTTTGAATACGCCTAGTAAAGACAGCAAATAAGGTGAGATAGGAAGTGCAGGTGCCGTAGATATCCATCGTGAGGACTTAATCTACAAACTCATAGAGCCATAGAGTCCCATAAGGTGAGGGGCCAGAGCACCAAGTGTCCATAAGAATTGAGGTTAACAAGTCTCTGTAACCATCACAGACACAAGCCAGTATCAAGAATACAAGTAGACGTGCATCTATGACCTCATTTCTTGTGGTCCCTTTTAAATAATATAAGGAAGGTGACAGTTCGCGCCGAACCACACTGCTGTCAGCAGAGCAGTTCGTCAAAGATAGGAGTTCACCACTCCAGACGATGATGGCAGACGAAGAAGGCCAACCACATCCGCGAGAAAGACTAGCTGGAGCAGGAGCTGCAGAAGAACACAGTCCGTGAACGCAGACGAGTGACGACAGCACCCTCCGACCCTCTTGCCGAGGATACCCCGAAGGGAGGCCCTTCACTCCACACGAGGCGAACCATCCTGAGGGTGGCTGCCGACCCAGGCGGTCCTAGGAGGTACAGTCGTATGTGGTCGGTGGAGGGCAAACATCTGGTGTGACTGAGTTAAGTAATTGTAGGAGCTGAGGAAGTGCGGAGCACCAGAAACGCCTGCGGGACAGGGCTGGAGAACGAGGACATTCCGAGGAGCCCAGTTACGTCCGCTGCGATAAGCATCGGGGTCCTTGCGGAGCCCTTCTCTAGCCAAGATGAGCCAGTTCTTTCCCCTAAACCGGCGGTAAACGGCGCTAGAATCAGAGCTAGCGAGGCTAGACGCCACTTAGCAGATCGTTGAGAGGGAGATTAGTGCGGCCGGAGCATCCTTCGGGCGTAGGCAGAACTTTCCGCGATCAGAAGAACCACAATCGCCAGCAGCTCAAGTCCGAGTTGAACCCGTTTTCTAAGTATCGAAGTGCCTAGAGCGTCGGGAGAGTGTGCGGTAGCAATCCGGGAGTGGAATGGACGTAGCGGCGGCCGCTGCCGTTGATAACAAACAGTCTGTAACCGTGGGCTAGCTATGAATATCGAAAGTAGAGGAGCCATTCAATCGAGTCGCGCATGATCGAGACAGATCAACGAACACAAGGCGCAACAGTCAATGCGCAGCGGCGAAGATTCACGAAAAACACCGATAAGGGGAGCTGGACTGATCAACGTTCCAGCGCATAACACGATTTACTGGAGCGGGCGCTTAACTTGGCGTCTACGGCGCACGAGCTAGCGCCAAAAGAATAGGCGGAAGCAGAGCTAAGAGCGGAGCAGCAAGCAAGTAGGAGTGAAGGAAGCAAAGGAGCGGCTTAATCATTCTTCGAAGCTCAAGTGACCCCAAAGAACAGATGGTGGTATCCCATCGTTGCTGAAGGGAGATTCGGTAGTAATCCGTAACGATACTGTTCGAGAGACGGGTTCACCGGACGACCGGGCTTTGGAGGAGCCGCAAAGTTTAATCCGACAGGACGGTACGAGAGCTATAAGGTACAGTGGTGTGAGCGAGAGACAAGTCCGAGGCGAGTCGGAGTGAAGGAGTTCATTTACCAATGTAAAACGTGAAGACAACCGGAGACAAGGTCATGACCAAAGAGAGGTGCACAGGACTTATAGAACCCGCGATCAACGGCAAGACTTTTGAGAACCGAATAGGAGAGCCGCCTCGAGTTGGACACTAACTGGAGACCGATAGACAGCCTATCCCACGTGTCCACAGAACCGTACACTTTCAATCTGATATTATTGGCACGACGAGGTTGAAACACGTGATTTAAGCAGGCTTTCTCTGATCGACATTAGCTGGCAAGTAAATACGGATGGAGGAATATGGCTGTGTGTGAGCCCTTTGGAGAGGGCGTACAGAGACGAGGGAGACGGTACGACTTGTGCGATGAATCTACCCACTCGCCACAACTCAGACACGAATCCAGCAGCTTCACTCTCCTACGGTAACCAGTGCCATGTAACCAGGGACTCCCCCATTTCGCAACGATCGGGCGGATCTCGAGCACCTGAACTTCCAGGAATGGGCTTATTACAGAAACAGAGTCAGTATCGATGATTATTCTTAAACTTGAGTGCAAAATGCATTAATGTTGGGCCAGTGTGTTAGAAGTGCAAAAAAGTGATCAAAAAATAAGTCAGAAATTGCTCGAACTGTGATCCGTTTTTGTCACTTTACTGAGATATTTGTTAGCTTAATGTTATATGTAAATCTCAAGATTAGATACATCGAAGGAGCAATATCAATTACATTTGTTTTTTGGTATCACCCTAAAGATCACAACAGCTAATCAACTCTCATAGGTGGACACTTTCAGAGAGTCTGTCTATATCACAAACACGATGAATTCAGAGAATCGAAGACTCATTTCAAACACAGTGGTTATATGGGAAGTGGGGTGTGGGAACATATAAGGAAAGAAAAGACGAACGATAACAAAACAAGAGAAACTCTAGAGACCAGCACTCCAAAGAGAGAACAGATTTAGAGAAAGACCGAGATGAGAGAAAAAGAGAGAGACCCTAGAGAGGGGACTCAGGAGAGAAGTACAGAAACCCAGAGACAGTGTAGAGTACGGTGGGGGTGAGTGTGGAGTGTAGTGAGGACCAATAGAGTTAGACCTGAGTAAAAGAGATGACACCCTAAGTGAGACGACGCAGAAGAGAGAAGGGGACCAAGAGAGTACGAGACCAGAGAGTGAGGAGACCAGAGCGAGTTAAGGAACCCCAGAGAGTATGAGCTACCCGTAATATAGAAGTAGAGACCAAGTCGAGATCAGTGAAGGCATATATTTAAGCCCCATGAATCCTGAGTGTCGGGAAAGGCAAGAATCCTGAATACTACGGTGTAAGGGGGGCCAATGAGTCGAAGGCTCGAGCGTTTAAGAAAAGTTAGCACTTGGCTCACCACTACTCCATCATGTAGAAGTCGGACAAAGAAATAGAATCAATAACACATCTCTAAGTGGCTCTAGCAATGAAATGGGGTGAGAATCAAAATGTATCAAATGTATAATATCCCAATCTTCTAGAACAAAAGATGACAGTAGTATATGGTTCTTGTATGTCCTGATTGGCATCATGAACAATAGGACTGATTTATGGGTCTTGTTTCAGTTAATTGTGTTATCTTGCAGATGGACAACAAGACCCTCGACCAAGAAATACAGTCTTCTGATAAGCAGAAAGGTATGATTAATGGGGAGAGGAAGAAGACTCCCCAGAGGATAGGATTAATTAATAAACAACGAAACCATTTATCCCAAAAAAGAATAACACTAACACCGTATTTAGTGACTTTTGCAACATGCAAAAATTTATAATGGTAGACCGGGTATATCAGAACGTCTCGTAATCTTCAAGCTTCGGAGATCCGAGTCTATACCGTGTAAGCTGCGTCCACCAGGCAGTCAGTTGAGTGAACATTGTATTCAAAGTTTCCAGCTTATTAACAAGTTAACTAATAACTTTGAAATGCCTTATGATAAAGGAAGAGAGGTGTATACTACTAAGAAGTTATTAAGACTATTTCAATTGAATTACATATGAAGTATACAGGACTGACTCCCCAACACTCACATCACCACGAAGTCACGACGTACCACGATAGCTCACAGAGGTCAGACGGTGACTAGCCGAATAGCCGTCAATGGTACAGGTGCCTCGATCCACAAAGCACCTGTATCAAAGCAATGCAGCTCTCTCCTTAACTGTGTAGTTACGGACACTTGATATGAGCCGACACGATTGGGTGCGGACCGGTCATAACGCGAGGCTTCGAACGTGACCAATACGTGACCATATACAACGCCGTCACCCACGACAGTTATCACAAGAAGACTTACCTGCGCCAATATCCTCCAGAGGTAAGGATGTGCCACGGGTGCATCTCGAGGATGGTAACAGAACTAGGCGGAGGTCACGCTTACAGGCAACACATCACGTTAACCGATAGTAGGAGTTGAAGGACCAAGAGAGATGTGAAGAACCAGCGAGACGTAAAGACCAAGAGAGAGAGAATGAGGACCCAGAGAGAGTGAGGACCAAAATAGGGACGACGTATAGACCACAGGAGTAGGAAGCGGAACCATAAGAAGAGTGAGACCATAGAGAATTGAGGAAACCAGAGAGAAGTAAGATACAAGATCTATTAGTGAAGAGGCCACAGATCGGAGGAGTTTTGAACCAAGGCAGTATGTAGTGTAAAGACCAGAGATCGTAGAAAGCCACGAGGCGAGAGTGAGAGACCCTGATAATGAGAGATAAGATCCAGGCGAGAGTAAAGAGACCAGGCAGGCCAGACCAGTCGAGACCCAGAGAGATGTAGGGACCCAGAAAGAGATATAAAGACCAGACGCGCAGTATGAGACCATACGAGGATAGAAGCCAGAGATGCGAATGTCCCAAGTATCAGCAGGACCACTATCAGATAGTGAGTCCAAGGGGGGACGATTCTAGTGAGTGAAACAAAAAAACAAATCTGGTCTCACGAAGATGATATCTTCTTCTGAATAGAATAGTAAGAGGTACGGTTCCCACTACAATACAGACAATCAGAACCTAAGACATTTTTATTTTTTTGGTGTGAGTGGCAAGTGTTACCCAAGTCCCAACTTGTTACCTCTTGCACTGAGCAACTAGGTTGTAATGAAATCTGAGAGTAATGTGTATAGTGTCAATAATGATCCTTTACACGGATGTAGAATTCTTGATACTCATACTTTATATATGAACACTGCCTTTTTCCGGTTCCCAGTCTGAGAACAATGGCTGTTGTACGTTGTCTCCGCTCGAATATATCTAACGCCTCCACAGACAAGACTCATCAACAGATTGAAAACGATGATAGGGCAGTGCCAGTGTATCAGACTCGGGGAACTTTGTTGGCAGTGGTTCGATAGTTACCTAGCTAACATTCTAAACATCTGTGGCGGAATAGGCCACAAGTATTCCCATGCTACGGAATTTTCTCCCAAGGGCGTAGCCTTTCAATCAAGGAAACGTCACAACGCTCCACCCTGTGAATGCCACCTGTTACCGCGCTTCTCTATTAAGCCCACCCTCTGATAGAGTGCAGCTTGTCCCCATTGCACGCACCGACTCCACATAGGGCACCATGTTCTGTCATCTCAGACGGACGTAGCCCATAGCATGATATAACACTACTCGGACTGTGCTGCGGAGCTGATCTGGAGCTGAATGCAGAAAATTTGGAGCTAATTACAAAGCTTACTGCTGAGTATGGCAACACTAGCTAACTTGCCTAAAAGCTATGAATTGCTGAACAACATCATAGCGCAGCATACCTCGACTGGCTTTGAGCTGTTGCTTCGTATTTTGGCGATAATGGTGCTGACGTCTATAGGGCGTGTATCTATGAGAACCGATACTTTCTATGGAGGGTGGACATTGAGATTCTCAAAATAACCCAACAAGATCACCATGAACGAACATACCATTTGTGTTAATAAAACCCAGAATGAGATTAGGACCAGAAGGGAGAAGAAGATCCAGTAGAGAGTAGACCAGAGTAGACCGGAGACCGAGAGCGGGACCTGAGAGAGAGAACCGGAGAAGAAAGACCAGAGAATAGAGAGCCTATTGAGTTAGAATACCAGGAGAGAGGATATCTGAAGAGAGAGAGGGATCAAGATAGAGACCAGAGAGAGAGACACGCGAGAAGGGAAACCCACAAAGAGCAGACCAGAGAGAGTGACCTGAGAGAGAGGCCCGGAAGAGCCGGGAGACCGAGAGAGAGATAAACAAGCAGCGGACCAGAGAGAGAGAGCCAAAGAGCTAGAGAACCAGTAGAGAGAGAAGACCGAAGCAGGAGAGGAACCTCAAAGAGAGACCAGAGAGAGACCAGAGAGAGGACCGTGATGAGATGAGGACCAGAGAGAGAGAGACAAAGAGCGAGGACGAAGAGAGAGGAGACTAAGAAGGGACCAGAGAGAGTAGACAAGAATGAGAGGACCGAGAGCGAAGACCAAGAGAGAGACACAAGAGAGAGGAACCTCAAGGATTAGAACTCCGAGTAGAGGGACCAAGAGAGAGGAGCCTCTATCAAGACTGACCCGTAGAGGTGAGATTAATTGAGTGAAGAGGAGAGGTTGACACCAAGGAGAGAAAGGAGACTGAAGAAGGAGAGAGACGGACAAAGAGAAGAGGAAGGCCTGCACAGAGAGACCAGATAGAGACCGAAGATAGAGAGACCGTAGAGAGGGACCAAATAGAGATAGAGATGAGTCGCACGATAAGCGTATGGGGACCAAGAGAGAGACCCGAGGAATGTAAGACCCGAAAACGGCGCGGAGATGGAGAACCCAGATGAATCGAGAGAGAGAGTACCACATTTAATGAATGGAATGAAGGATGACACCAGTAGGTAGATGAGATATAGACCAGAAGTGATAAACCATAGGTGAGAGAGAGACGTCAAAAGAGAAGAGAGAGCCAAGAGAGAGAGAGCAGAGACCCAGGTGCAGAGAAGGCCGGTTTATCCTGCTTACTGAGTACATCGTAGCTGAGGAA